TGTGCAGTCAATCAACTTTCTTCAGAATTGGACGATTTTTCAGCAGCCAATATAGAAATTTAGCCGATGAATTTTCCGATTATGAAATTTGTCGAACAATTTGCATCCTATTGCAGCCCTATCTACAGCAAAATTTCGATAAAATTTTATTTAAGATTTATTGAAGAAATCTAAGTTCTTATAAACCTTTTTCCACTCTAAAAAGACAAAAAAGTATTCATAAAGCAAGAAATATCTTTCAAGGTCTTTCATATCTAATTTTTTGAAGAAATTTGCGTTATTTTGTTGTTTCAAGCGAACGCGTATTAATGTGTGTAAATGCATTTACCTGTAGGAAAAAGTTGCCGTTTTATGGTTCAAGATAAACATGACATACAGTGACGTAATCCATGCAGCCTGAAAATTGCACCAAGTCAGAACCACTCAAACACATTTTTAAGCGTTGACTGTTGAATATATATTTTACAAATATTTATTTTGAAGATAGCGGTATATTTTCTAGACTTCCTATGGAATGACAAAAGAATGATGAGACAAATTTCCATACTATATATTCGGTACGGTGTACTATTATAGTATCTTTGTAATTAACTGAGTCTTCTCACTCTGCAGGGTGCCGCTCTTAGTACAATGGTTGGCTGGATGACTTTCGGCAAGAAAAAATACGAAAATCTTGACTCCACAATGAGAAAGTTAATTCCTCCAGTCTACCAGGTTATGGTTGATTTAATTCCTTTGGTTGATGCGGACACAAACGCTTTTAATATGTACATGGTAAGAATAAAGTGATTCTAATACTTTCAGTTTGTCCAATCTAAAGAATTGCCTATCACGCGACCCCGATGAAGACATGCAGCTAGACTGGAGTGTCGAAACGTAATGCAATTCGTCTGGTGGCAAGCGAAAACATGACTGATTTTAAAGACTGGTTGCCGTGGACTAACAAACTTTAAATCAGTTCTAAAAAATTAACTGCATTTAATTATTTTTTTAAACATGAGGATGGCCTGGAAACTAACACCCCCAGAAACTAGTATTGTTGTGTTAAAAACTATGATAGTATATTTGGTAGTATTGCATTGTCACCAGAAACTGTCATTTGTCTTCGACTGCCATCTTTAAAAGAAGTTTAGAAAGTACAATTATATAATTTTTCAATGAAAGTTCAAGCAAGCTGCATTGGAATGAACCTTAAATTTATTTGTTTTTATATAATATTCCAAATTAGTGAACAATACTACAATAACTGCATTTGATTATCTTACTGTGCTACTAAAAACTATGGTTTATGTTTATAGGACGCGTTGAAACTTCCAAAAAATACTCCAGAAGAAAAAGAAAGGTAGCTAAATATAATCTCAGTAACAGTACAAAAACTATATATATATATATATATATATATATATATATATATATATATATATATATATATATATATATATATATATATATATATATATATATATATATATAGAAAGAGAGAGAGAGAGAGAGAGAGAGAGAGAGATTGCTCTGAAGATGTTGTATTGTAAACTACCAAACGTTAGCTAATAACTAATAAAATTTTTACTTTTATATATGTTTGGTTTTAAAGTTATTTGCTGGGCTCTGCTCTTTATCTTTAAACTAAGATTTCCGCCTGGTGTATCACTTTAAATTATGATTTATTTGTGAAATGTGATCGCAAAACTTAAACTTCAAAATCGTACTGAAAGGAATTGAAGTCTCATTTAATTCGACATCAACCCGCGTACGTCACGAAATGCGACACACATGGCCTGGAAACGACGACGAAAACGTAACTTTGCATTCGCAGTCACGCAATAAATAGCGAATCCAACCCACAATAATCTAACCCTAGGAAAGCAAGGTTGTCACAGGGGCGTAAATATGGGGTGTGGTGTGTGTCTGGGGGGGGGGTGGTTCACCCCCTCCCAGAGAAATGATCCATCGGTCTCAAAATTATGCGTTTGTTTACACGCGGTGCTTTGCAAAGCAAACTAAACATTTTCGAACCTCGGAGACCGATCAGACTCAAACTTTTGAGTTGAAAATTTGCTCAAACGGAATCAAGCAGCTCAGAAATAATATGAAGAAATATTATCAGTCAAAACCCGCGCCAAGGGATGAAGTTTCCATTTACTTATATCTATATGTCACGATTACGTGTTTGCACTTTTATTTGGAATTTAGGTTCTGCAGTAAACTCCCAAAACCATACTCAGAAATGCGATGAATATAAATCAAAATAGCTTTACATTAGTTACAATATTTCTCCGCTCCCTATATAAGTAACTATATAAGCCGTAACATGCAAAGTGCAAAAGCGAATTTTTAACCGAGTTATATAGTCACAAATGTTCACATGTAACACGATATAAATTTGGATTTGCCGACTAAAGAGTTTTCATGATATGCCTATACTGCAATCAAGAATCAGTTTCGATCAGTGAGCGACGCCCTGATTTATCTGAAAACACAGAGCGAAACATTGTTTCAACGGACTAGGCGATCGGTTTCTAATTGTTGCTTACAGTCAGGCCCGTAACTAGATATGAGTCAATCGAGTCGGTGACTCGGTAAGAATATTCGTAAAAAAACTTTAAAACTGGGAAAACTCAAGTTCAGTTCAAGTTCTCTCCATAGACCTAAGAAGTGGGAGCCTGTGTAGGTGCAGAAGTACAAAAGTGCGGGCCAGCGCCCCAAATATTACAACAATTGGGCACAAACACTTTTTTATTACGCACCTGATCATGTTTGACCAAGAATTGGGGCAGGGATTCGGGGCAAACTACAGTATAAAATTATAGCTCGATTGTGTCACTGTTTATGAAATTGATTTTTCGTTTCAACCGCTCCCAGAATGCAGGAAATAGCGTTTGTAAGCCTTAGAAAATTAAAACGTTTCTGGGGCCCCCAGACCCCCCATCCCAAGTGTCTTGATCGATCAAAAATCCTAGTTACGCACCTGACAGTTCCTGTGACATGCGCATCTGCCGAGCGCAGCTTTTCAAAGCTGAAATTATTGAAAACTGTTATACGTTCAGTAACGAATCAGGATTCCTAATAAATGACATCAATTTCCATGCTTTGTATTAAATTTTCTTGCAACACACCAAGAGTCGGTCTGGATTCACATTTCAGTGGTGGGTCGGTCTCATTTCGTGATTACACCCCCCCCCCCCAGTCAAAACGTATATGTCCGCCCCTGAAGGTTGAAATGACAGATGCATGTGGTTATAACGCTGAATTGAATATGCTGGTATTGATCCAGCGTGTGGTATTTACTTGCACAGAATTACTCTCTGTGCTTCTTTGGTTGGTCTTTCCAGTGCTTCGATGTAGTTTTCTGGGTCGACCGGTTTTCCTCCCTCATCAAAAACTAATCCTTTGGGCTAATGTTGTCAGCACATGTAACGTTAGCCTCTGACTAGGGTGAATTTGCACCTACGACCTGTGTAATTGCATCAAGTAAACATTACATTAAATGAATTATTACCTGACGAAAGGTGTAGTGGAGAAGTTGGGGGTGATTGCACATATCCAACATGTTGTTTTATCCAGTTAGCAAATTCTGAAACACGTGCAAATACTGTGAATTGATTATATCCAGCACTGCACGTTCTAGTTCCCCAAGAAACAGCCCCTTGTAAGATCCAACGATTTGATGATTTATCACGGCAGACAAACGGTCCTCCAGAGTCACCCTGGCAACCACTGACTGTGCTAGAACCACCAAAACCGGCACAAATCTGGCAAAATATTAAGTAAACACTTTGAAATGTGTTTTCAAATGCATGCATGCGTGCATGCATGCGTATGAGAATACGTGTTAGGTTGCATGCATGCATATGAGAATACGTGTTAGGTGGTAAACTACTAGTGTATATTTGTAAGATACTTACCTAACTATTTTATTAATTGGTCAAAGCAATTGGTAGAATGACAAATGTGAGTTATGTGACTTTAACAGCTAACATTTAAAATTCGCTTTCCAATTTGTGAAATGTGCTTCAGGAAATCGGCCACCGATTATATGTTTTGCTTTGATGGCCCCACGTATATCGAAACATTATTGCGGAAATGTTTGGAAATTTTGATGTTTCCCAAAGCGTCTTTCCGTTTGCATCTGCTTCCAGTGAAGGCCTCTACTGAAACATGGAAAGGTTGCGCGCCCGGTTTTAGCAGGGAATTTCTAGAAACTGTGACAGCAGTTCTATTGTCCTTCCTCGGGAAGATTGTTGCAGACATAGAATTTCCTCTCTGGATTGATATATACCTCAGTTGAAATTTGAATTCTTATTTATTCATAAGAAATTTACTGGGAAATCTTTCTGAGAAGTATAATGTTGCTAAGAGTTATGAAACATAGCTCGACACACTGGAAATTTATCTCCGATATTTACCATTTGTCGGGTTACTCGACCATGAGATCGCATATGTTCACGACATTTTGACTCGGAGATGACAGGAAGTCTTGCTTGTTGAAGGGCCCTTGCAAGTGATTGGCCTGGCCGAGTACGCCCCCAACCTGTCGGACCAGAAAATTATGTCACACACATTTCATTTTAATATGTGAGATGTTTCTTTTATCAAGTTTAGCTACAGACTAATGACTTCGGAATAAAGGATCGAAACCTTTGCCACAAAAGTAAACAGGTTTTCCCACAAACCAAACCAAACAAATAAGTTTATTTTTCTCATACAAACATGCAAATAACTTATTTATTTATTTATTAAAAAATATTCCCTCACCTGTGATGTAGCATTCTTTTCCAGAAACCTCATTAACAATGACACCTTGTTGTGGAAGACAGACAGGTTGAATTTGTGGTGTGAACGTCACTCTTCGGGACAGTTTGATCAGAGCTAAAATGAAGAAAAAAAAAGCTAGGTTTGGAAATGTGTTAAATGTAGCATAACTGACCACAATTCTGCACAGTATTGATGAAAAGTGTACTGTAGCTTTATTATACCTCTACTAGGAGGTTTTGTTTTTAGCGCAATTGTTTTGGTGGGCATCGTCTGTCAGTAGGTCATGTAGGATAATTCAATAATCAATTTACGAACATTTTTGGAGCCCTTGGCCGTAGCCGCGTTTGCGTTTCTTTTCTGTGCCGAAAATTAATTAATCCATGTATAATTTATACATCGATACTTGATCGACTAGCTTTCGATTGGGGAGGTACAGTATACAGTTTTGAGTTTTCTCTAGTTAACCAAAACATGCACTGTTATTTTGAGGGCGTTATACCTTAACTGTGCGAACAATAACTCTTACATGATGTTTGGTGTTACAGAACTGAAATGCCTATAATTTGTTATTTTTGGACACAAAAGATAGGAAAACAAAACATTTTTGAGATTTAATCTCTACCACCTTTCCAAAGCTTCTACCTCATATTACTAATTCTCTTATGAATCAAAATTTTGATGGTAAGGTCACAAATCCCAGTTTTAGTGGATATAGTTTCGACAGTAGATACCTAAGAAAACTTTTTTAAAATCTTTTCTAAAATCCTTTAAGTACTTTAAAGCTAATATCTATAATTGGGTCAATTTGGAATACGGATGTTGCCACGTTCTGGTTATTTAGAAGGTATATTTTGACCAGTCAAATGTCCACAGAATGACTTGCTCTGTGATATTGTTATTAAATCCAGTATAAAAACTTGAGACATCAATTAAAGCTGACTAATAATATAAAATGTAGTGGGGGCATTTTTAGGACACTGTTCAAACCATTAAATTATTTAGCTTGTGCTCGTGGAACCACGGGTGGAAGTTGGAACTTACCAATGTCATAATTTAAATTGACATATCTAGGATGAACAATGATTTGTACAACACGACTGTCCATTTCATTGCCTTCGTTTGAGTTGAAATAATGGTCACCTGAAAAAAATCATTAAAGTATATTTATGCCAAACAGAACCAACTTGAGTTGAAGGAGACCGAGTAATGTAAAAATAAGCAATAATCAAACACGAAAATACACATATTTGCTCTCCCTCCCACCGCCAACATCTCCTAATACGTGGACATGTTGGAAACAAAGGATCGCATAATGTATGAAATGGTCCTCTCAAAATTGCTCTGCTAGAACAATCTTCGAAACGTTGCATTGGTTGTCCTGCTGGGGACCTTGCTTTCAATCGAGTGGCCTGAATGCACGACTGATAGTATTAGCCGAATCTCTTCATAGTATATTTACTCATAGTTAACAGCCTGGAGAATGGATGAAGAAAATGGATGGATGGAGAAAAAATATGATGAAAAAAATGGATGGAGAAAAAAAACAATTTAATAAGAAGTATTTAACATGCACATTTTCAATCCATTGACGTCGAATCTTATCCCACTCCAAAACGCGTCATTTCAGTGCAATTTATAGAACATTGTTCGTTAGAGAAAATATATTTAATATCCCCTGCCAGTTAAATGTATATGAAAAGCTGGGGGCTGCTTTTTATTTCAACAGAGGAGAGCGGGTCTGAAGACAATGACCAAAATCAAAGGCAAAACAATAGATTAATAATCCTCTGTATAATATTCCCCTCTAATATTCCCCCCTAATCATCAGGCTTTTTCTTTTTCTTGAAATCGTCAAAATGGCGGACAGTTCTAATTTTGTGAGCTCTACAAAATTCCATCAAAATATCCCGAAAATATGGAACGCTAAAGAAATTTGTAATCATATAGCTTCTTCCAACTTAAGGTATGATAGTAAACGAATTAAATGGATTGGAACTTTTGATATATTGCAGAAATTTGTCGAATGCGATCTTAAATTGGATGGCAAATGGTCTTCGCCAGGCGGTTGTTCGAAAAAGTTTACGTGCTATAATCTAGATATATCAATAGCTTGGTACCCCAAGAAACTAAATACACTCGTATTTCATGGTGAGGAAAGCTCGGGTTTGGTTGACGCGTTAATAAATGTGTGTGCAGAGGCAATCACTAAAGACGACGGTTTATCAAACAATGTATGTGTGTCGGCCAAGCATAGTTCAACGGCAACTATAAACTCAGCTGTTGATGAACCTGAACAACTCGTTTTATTAAATGTCTTTCACAGGGACGCCGGAACGATGAAAAGGCAAAGGGGGCAGACGCACACCAAGGGCACCTCTATAGATCAAAAGTTCAAAATTTACCATAAATTTTTTTTTAACATGGAAATTTTTTGGGCGTCCTCCCCTCCCGTCAGTGTACCATTTTAGGGGCAAAATATTTTGCGGACATAACAAAATTTTCCGTGACGTAAAAAAATTTTACCGCATATCAGCAATTTTCCGCATTTATCCAAAATATTTTTCTAAATTCCAAAAACTTTCAAAAATTTTTGTAAATTGTCCTCATTCTTTTCCAAATTCACACTTATTTTTGTAAATTAACTTTCTCTGGGCCTATAAACTACCTGAATCTCATGATTTTGCCAGAAAAAGCATCACTGGAAATGTGATTTATCACGTAGTATTTTATAACTAAAAGGGCACTTCTGCCTCCCCCTGCCCCCCCCTAGCGAAAGGCAAGGGGGGCAGCCCCCCCTGCCCCCAGTTCCGGCGTCCCTGGTCTTTCAAAACGAATTTCTTTCAATTATGTCTTAAAATGCAACCTCGCCAATGTGAAAAATAAGTACGTTATTTTGAGGCACCTCGGGGATATGATATGAATAAATCACATATCCCCTCGTTGCCTCAAAATAACTTAAACATTTATCGACTCAATCGTTATTAACAACTTCAATATTGACAGCAATATATTCTGCAAGTGCAGATGGTTATTCTCTCCACACCAGGTACTGCCTTGAATTGAGTTATCGGCAATGTTTACCGTATGGTGTCATTGATGACCATTACTATAATGCTGCACAGTGGCACTTACCTAATCTTACGTTAAGACTGGAAGCAGAACTTCTCTCCAAACAATGAGCTGCTGTAACTACCCACTGATCACTAATCAAAGATCCACCACAGAAATGATGTGAGCTACCAACACTTCTCAATGAAACTTGCCACGGCCAGCTGTTAGGACGAGCTGGTTGACCACTTACTACTTTACCAAGGAAAAGCTTTGCCCTGCCACAACCTGTGAAGAATTAAAATTAGAGCATGCTTAGCGTAGTCTCATGCATCATATTTCTGCTTTGAATTTTCTCAGGTTCAACTCGGGAATAATCTTTTTAACCATATAACTGGGGGGTATAAACATATAAACAGTTAGTCTTTGGGTTAGCACCAAGATCACTCATTACTTGTTAGTTTTTGCATTGCTCAGTCACTAATCAAATTTATCCTAATGGGAGAGTTTGTATAGTCGTGCCTGACTTGATTGGACATTCAATCGAAAAATCTCAGTAGGTCTTTACATGCATTATTTTATGCTTGACGCGTGACCGAAAGATGGCTAGCATGTATACAGACCTAACTCACTTCACTTCCGGTCTCATTTATTTCTACATCAACCCGCCCTGGCCTCACAAAGTGCTAGCTAAACAGGGGAGAGGAAAACACTACATATACGGGCTGGAAACGACGATAAAAACGTAAATACTGAATACCACCCACAATATCTGCATGTATAGTTGCATTTTTCGCAAATGCTCCTGGTTAGGTCTGCTAAATGTATAAAATCCGTCCTCGCTTGAATTAATACTAGTGCATGGCTACTGAAATTCATTGATGAAATTTTGCCGACTTCAACATTGTTTTTTGTGCAGTACCGCGCAATGCACTCAACTCTCAAGACGCGTTTGCATCTATCTGCGTAGTTACATAATTTTTCAGTAATTAGTATTATACATTAAGCCGTCACGTTTGGTATCTGAAAAGAACAAAACAATAGACATTCCGAAAATAGGTAACATTTTAATTAATCAACATTTCGACTAAGTTCCAGTCATCATCAGATTCCTGACGATAACCGAAACCTGGTCGAAACGTTGATTAAAATGTTAAGTATTTTCGGAATGTATATTGTTTTGTTCTAATTTTTAAAATTTATTCTAATGCAACCCGCGTAATTTTTGTATCTGAACCACGTGAAAACCATTAAAAACCACTTGGTCGCTGTGAGCGAAAACCCGGCGTTTGGAGCCGGTTAGTTAACATACAGCTGAACTAGGTTTTTATGCTAAATTGCTCGTCCCTTGCTTGAAACGGCTAGACATGTATATAGGATTGCATGTATAGCCTACGTACGTACCTCGATTTATATATAATCCTTTTGTAAGATTGAGTAGAGAACACACGAGCATCATAATTGTTAGCAATTGTACCATTGCTTAAACCAAATTTTTATCTTGCAAGTTGTATTGAAGCAACAGTCTAGTGGAACATGAAGTATATTAAAATAAATTAGGTAGCACTTTCTGATTGATCATAGGCCGCAGGTATAACAACACTCTCATGACTTTCGACCAAACAACACTGCAATAATCGTGTATCTACATGGGCATTGGAATAACGAGGTATTCACAGAATTGCCAATCCTGCTTTTGGTGAACTGAAAACGGAATAAAACTCGACAATAAAACATATGGAAGCCTCCATATAGATAAAAGGGTACTATAGGATAAAAACAATATCATAAATGACCCATGCTCTATTGTCCCTCGTGCGATAAAGCTGATATCGCGTTGCCCCTCATATATTTCTATTATCTTATCTTTTTTTTTATATAGAAGATAAATAATGGTAATTGAACTGAGTGGAGTGCAATTTGCTTTGAAATCAAACGCGCGTGAATGCCATATTTCCACTGTGTAGCTGTATATTTATATAGATACAGGACATGCAGGGTGTTGATTTACAAGCAAAAATGTCAGTTATAACCAGTTCATCCCATTCACAGTGCCACAACTTTTCCCTTGATGGACACAAAATATAGGGAATGCACATTATATAAGCACAATTCCACTTAAAGGATTAACTACCCACCGAGCGCCAGCGCTCTCCCCTGGACAACTGAAATCATCTGCATGGCATTACTAATAGACAGAGTAAAATAATAAAGTATAGGGCGATTCAGGACACAATGAGACTCGTGGGCTAAACCTAACGTACGTTTATGATTTGCAGCAATGCCCACCTCTCCCTTCATATGCCCTGGCACATTCTCAGATTATTATCTTTTCTCGAGTGAATTTTTTGCTAACATAAAATCTTAAATATTTATGCAGGATCAGTTATCTCGGTCGATGCTTGGATGTGAAAACGAAAGCCACCTGGGGTCTTCAAGTGTTCAAAAGCAACAGAGTGCTGTTGTAGACATGTAATGAATATAACATAACTGAATATTCGTTCGTTTTCGTTAATGAGTCGTGAATGTTAACTAATTGAAAGTTAAAACGACTTAGGAATTAGTCCCGTTAAAAGTGTTCCAGCGTACTTACGAACCGCGAAAAAAAACTGGAAAGGACTTTGGGAAAGTCTACTGCATGACTATACAGAGCAAAGAGTTTTTACTGTTTTACGCGCTGCGTTAAATTAATCAGCAAATGATAATTATTATGATTATTCAGCTCATACCCCATCGGGGCTTTTCAGTAACCGATTACATCAAGTATTGCGCCTACTTATATTACCTACTAAGCTTGGACTATTTATTTCATTCACAACAATTGTTATTTTATTTTCCTAACCATGTTTATCCTAACCCACCTGTCAACTTTTCCTGTGGGAGGAAGTCGGGCATGCTCAGATTTGACTCAGATTTTACTTGATTAACCGATAAACTCCTTTCTGGGCTTGTAAGTTGCCCTCCCAATCGTAAAATTGCTGTGTGGTCCAGAGTAGGTAGTGACAATAACACAAGAAGGCTGCATGTGGATTGAGAAGGATTTGCAATAACACTAGAAAACTACAGATTAACATTCACGCTGTTGAATCACCCTCTCCATCCGCAGCTTTCTGGTATACATACTATACATACAGTCTGAAGTCACTCAGAAATGTCAAGGTTGCTATGAATAGTGATAATTATTAATGTTGCAATCTGAATATTTTGACATTGAATATGGAAATGTGGTCATTGTGGTGTGCCTTTAGCAATGTGAATAAATCAAATGCTTAAATAAACCACGTTATGATCTTAAATCTTCTTCATTCAGGGGGAGTAACAACTTCTGGTCATACGGCAGCATTTCCCCCCTGCGATATTAACTTCTAGTTTGTTGTACAATTAGAACGAATCGAGTCCCAACGCAGTACAGCAAAAACTATCATCAAAATCACCCTGTTATAAAGATTCGTGCTTCGTGCAAGTTATTTTCGACAGTACAACTCAACAGGTACACTACAACGCAACAATATTATGAATATGAAACTGCCAATCGAAAATGTCCACTTCCCGGCAGTGCAAACATGTAAACACGATGTCATAATGTAAACACGATGTCATAAAATAGTAAATATTAACTGTTTCTCACACACCCTAACGCTTTTAACCTCCAAAACCATACGCAGTATGAGGAGTCAGGAGCCGGTAAGTTAAAATTCTGAGCAATTTCAGAACTCTGTCACCGCCAAGTCCCAAGAGATAACAAATTGCTTATAATAAAATTTCTCATCAAAGCGAAACTACCATTTTTGTATCGACACCCATTTTGTATATTTTAAACTCCAATGTAAAATAAAAGATGTCTCAAACATCAAACCTCGCATCAGACTTAAGCGAAACTTTCAGTTATACATAGGTCATAGCCATGCATAGGCGAAATGTTTCAATTTTGACAGCAAAACTAATTGCTTTGCCGCGTTTGGAAGCTTTCAAAATGGTCGCAAAACGCTTACAATGGATAAGAGTTTAGCATTTTCGACCCTCGACACTCGACAATTACCCGAACTCATTTGGGGGCGGTAATACATCACACAAAGTGCATTCCCCAAGAAAATTATAAATGATTCACAAAAATTGTTTATAAAAATTGTTTATTTTGAACCCAGTTTCTGAAACTCTTATTTTGAACCTAGTTTTTGAACCAAATTCCTGAAACTCTACATGTTGTTCACTATGCCAATTAAGTGTACGATAGCAGAGTTAACATTGGTGAACAATAGCGAGCTTAAGCAAGCGACGTTTTTGACAACACGAACATTGACCGGAAGCAAATTTGACATTATAAACCAACCAACATTCTTGACCCAGTCTTTTAACCTTACTAACTGTTCGCTTGTTGTCAAAAATTGTTGCTTGCGTAAGCTCGCTATTCATTCACAAAAATACAACTTGACTTTGAAACTTTAAATGGTAAAATTTTAGTGCTCTTTATCTTCGCAAAACTACATGCACTTGTAGGCATTAATCACGCCTGTCAAAAATGCATCCAAAAGCGCCAATATGCGATACGCGGTGGGCAGCGGTTTTCGTTGCAAAAGTATCCAAAACATGCAAGTTACATGAAGTATACAGAGCGAAACTTTCAAAATGGCGGGCGAACAGAGTGGAAAATTTAGGACTATTGACGTAGTTTTACAAGAAGTTGTTTGCCATAATGCTGGAAATGATGGGAAAAGCGATGGGGCGAGGAAGATAAGGGATGCCTTGTGCACAGTGGCCGTAGAATCGGAGCTGGACTCCGACTGAAAGTCGTTCTGCCGATCTCTCAGTTGGCATATTAATAACATGGCATGCTGCGGAAATTTTGGCTAGCTCCGCAATGCCCTGCATTGTTTCGGCATGAATCGAGATTATGGCTGTCGGCAATAAAAGCGGAGTATTAGACATCCATGTCATGGTGAAATATATCGAGATATAAAGATATTCCCATAGAGCTATTTTCCATGCTGGGATCAGAGATTGGTGAAAACCACTCCTGAGTATTGTGAGCCTTTTTGCTTCCTTGGGAAAAACAAAAATAATTATTTATAAACAGTAAGATTTCTCTTGTGTTTATACAGCAATGCTCTAAAATCAGTAAAATGTAAATACAGCAAATGCTCTAAAATCAGTAAAATGTAAATACAGCAAGTAAAATATTGTTGCATTTCAGAGCATTGTCCTTTTAAGCAAGATATGATCACCACCTTCTACATATAACTACAGTAAATTTTTACTTTTACCCATCTCAATACACCCTTTAGGTAATTAAATCACAACTACCCCTTTGGTCTAGAAGCCGCACTCTCATAAAAAAATAAATTCACGAACTAAAGGTTTCCTGGACAGGGAAGGAGTTGTGACATAAATATCAAAAGAGTGTATTCCAAGGAAGACATTTTCAAGGAATATCTTGATTTATTTCACTATAAAACAGCATTTTACAATATTGAATGAGCTAGGAAATGTTTCTTTTTCTCACCTGCAATATTGATTTCATTTCTCATGACAAAAACATTTGCCAGAAATGATTTATAGCATACCACCTGCTGACAGCCATAATCATGTCACATGTTGCAACAGTGCTAAGACACTGAATGTCATGACAACAACATAGCTGGGAATATGTTTGAATCTATTCATTTCTAAAAACTATACCCTTATTTCACACATTGGACACAGTTTCTTTTTTTAATGATTTTATTCATTGTTAGTGGGATATAGATAAATATGTAGACCACTGTTTGTTTATGATGCTCCTCTTGCTTGATCGCAGTGGGAATCGAACCCACAACCTTTGGTTTTCTTACCGACTTGACACCCTGCATGTATGGCCCAGTCGGTAGAGCATTGGACTGGCAAACCGAAGATTGCGGGTTCGATTCCCACCGCTGTCAAGCAAACTCTTCTGCTTGCCCGGTGTGAACACACTCAAAGTAGCATCAGTACCAGTGTATGCGACACCTTATAATAATACAATGTTCTATCTATCAGGGTACTAGCATGTGTATATTTTATTTCTATTAATATTTTCACACTGAGAACAATAAAATGCTGACATTGCATTATTTGATGATTGTAGTTTGATATCTTAACAGCCAAATCATT